AAAGAAAGCAGGCTGAACAAGCCAGTAAGCATCTCTGCTCTATGACCTCTTCTTCAGTTCCTGCCTTGAGTTCCTTCCCCGACTTCCCTTCATGATGGACTGTGAGCTGTAAGATGAAATAAACCCTTTCCTCCTTAAATTGCATTTGGCCATAGTGTTTATCACAGCAATAGAAAGCAAACTAGAGGGGCTGGAGAGATGGTTCAGGCATTAAGAGCACTGGCTGCTCTTCCAGAGGACCTGGGTTCAATTTCCAATACTCATATGGCAGCTCACAACTGTCTGTAACTCCAGTTCCAGGGGATCCTCACACAGACATACATGCAGGCAAAACACCAGTCAATGCTCATTAAAAAAAAAAAAAAAGTAGGACATGTTTCTACTGATAAGATAAACACGCACACACACAAATACAAATGTAATAGTAAAAAGAAGAGATAGACAGAATGTTTCTCTCATGGTGTGTTAATAGAGACAGGCCACTCTCAGGACATTCCCCACTTATATGTCATGCTCCCCATTAATAAACAATGTCAGAACACTCCACCTGCAGATCCTCCCAAGTGTCACAGCTTTGGACACTGAAACAGCCTGAAGTGAACTTGCAACATTGTAACCAAGTGATTTGAAGCTTTAGAAGTTCCTTAAGCTAAACCTGCTTTTCTTTTCGTGGATTTGTTGATAGAGGTGAGCATCATTGGCTGCTAACTTAATCCTCCCTCACCATGGGTAGTTCTTGAAGACAAAGGCCTTCTTAAGAACAGGGATAGAGAAGACTCACAGTGTGTGTGTGTGTGTGTGTGTGTGTGTGTGTGTGTGTGTGTGTGTGTGTGTGTGTGTGTACTTGAATGCAGGCCCATGCTCTAATGCCCTTGTGGAGGTTAAAGGACAACTTTCCAGAGTTGCAATTGCTTCTTTCTTCCACTGTGGGGTCTGGGGACTGAACTCCGGTCATCAGGCTCGTGTTCACTCATTGAGGCTTCTCACTGGCCCAACTGTAATTTTTGAGACAAGCTACTATGATAAGTCATGAGATGGACCTCCCCTAGTCTCAAACAGGAGTTCCAGGGGGCTGAGGAGATGGCTCAGTAGGTTAAGTGTTTGTGAAGATCTGGGTTCCATCCCCAGAACCCATATGGAAAAAAACCCACCCCAGTGGTACATGCTGGTAATTCCAGCACTGGGAAAATTAAGCCAGTTAGATCTCTAGCCAGCCAGGCCTATTTGACAAGTTTCAGTCAGTGAGAGACCCTATCTCAAAAAAAAAAAAAAAGGTGGCAAGCACCTGAGGAACAAAACCTAGGGTTATCTTCTGACCTCCACACATACGTGCACAAACACACGGAACAGTTAGATGTGCGGTAACCAAGACAATGACAGCTGTATCTGGGCAGCTGTGTCCCTTAACAGTCAGAAGGCCCCTCTGTGGATGCCCCTCGGTGGCTAAGCTGCCTCCAAGCTGCAGCAAGCTTGTGCCCACTGTATCAAAGACTAAAGAGCCAGGGCATTTCCCCCAAATGTGTGCAGTTAAGGAAGGGTCTTCAACTGCCTCTTCTTCATGGGCTTTTCTAGAGGAACACGGGAAGAAATATTCTAAAAGAGAGATCCCATTTACCATGATTGGGAGAGGAAACCTTACCCTAGGAATACGCCATCTACCTCATAAATATTCATTAAAAAACGTATTTTAAATCCACAATACAGAACCCAGTGTGCTGCTAGGCCCTTTTGGAGATGCTCACTCCAATCTCCCGCTCTGGAGTGCTTTGCTTAATATACTTCTACTTACTGGTGGCGTCTTTTGGCTGAACGCTTTCCTTCCAGAAACCCAGGAGACACACCCCTCTCCTCAACACACATTCCCTTCAAATTTTACTTCAGGGGCCAGCCAGTCTTTTTAGTGTCAAGGGCCAGATAGTGAACATTTCAGACCTTGCAAGCCAGAGCCGTGCAGCAAGCCCTGAGCTGCTGTCCTAACGCAGGAAAGCAGCCGCGGCCAACACAAAAAAAGATTGTGGTTGCATTCCAACAAACTTGAGGTGTTAGAGCCCAGGCTGCAATCCGTCATCGGTTTTGTGTCCTGGACAGTGAACAGTGCCCCCTAAGGGAAGTCCCCAGCCTAAGGATGGATCCGATCACACCGCGCCCAGCCTATGAGCTGAGCATCCTGGGAACCACGGGCGGAGCAGGATGGGGACTGGAGCGCCACACCTATCACCCGGGCCAGCGTCTGGGATGCTGGGCGGGAAGGTGCAGGGAGAGGGAACACCTGGATCTCTCCCCGGCCCACCACTCACTCGGATACGCCAGCAGGGACGGAGGCCATAGCCACAGCAGAACGAGGACCACCGGCTTCATGGGCGTCGTTCACAGCACTCCGCCATCCGACGGGAACGGCCTGGGGCTACCAGGCCGGGGTACCTCAGGGCCCAAAGCGGGGGCAGGGGGGATGTCAGCGGCCTACCGTCCCACATCAGGGCCCGGGCGCCCCGCAACGGTTGCCCTAGTGAATGGGTGGGGGCGGGGCAGCCGCGTGCGAGTTGCGCTGCGCGCGTGCGTGCTGGGGCTCAACAGAGACGAGACGAGGAGTGGCTCAATGGCGATCTGCTGCTGCAGGCCTCAGGGGAGAGGCTGGAAGAAGCTCGGCAAGTGGCTTGCTGTGTCACTCCCCGGTTGAAAACACAGCTGTTGCACAAAAGTGGGTGTCTAATGGAAGAGGTGACCTGGAGACTACACAGAGTCAACGGTGATGGGAATCACTGTAGAACCCCCAGTCTGCCCCAAAGGAGATGGGAGTGAGGGGTCAATTAATTGCAGGAAGGCTTAGAGCTCACCAAGAGCTAGGTGGTTCAGACTAGTAGTGTACCTGGTTGCCGCGATGGGGTGGTGGGGATGGATGGGAGGATGAGGCAGGGACATTGCAGACACCTTAAGGGGTTTTGATTGTCTTTGTAATTATATCTTCTCTCTTCTCTCTTCTCTCTTCTCTCTTCTTCTTCTTCTTCTTCTTCTTCTTCTTCTTCTTCTTCTTCTTCTTCTTCTTCTTCTTCTTCTTC